CGTGGACGACAGCCCCGGAGTGGTCAAATGCCTTTGTCAGCTCAGAGAACATCAAGATGAACTGGCCCGGTATAACCAGGCCACCGAGGCCCTGTCCTCCAAGGTCGACTCGGTGACAGAGACAGTCGGGGTGATTGCCACCCGCGTCCAGAACATGCAGACTCTCCTGGACAAGATGGCTGCAGCTCGCCCCAAAGCCCCACCGCCGGCCTTCCCTGACATCCCGGCGACTGAATCCGCCGGGCCCCCGCCCCACCAGCCTCCGGGGAGTTGGCACACCCCGTCCCAGCTACCAGGCTCTACACCCGCCAACCCCTCGCCGGCTCCGCAAGGGCTTCCTCTCACCACGCCGCCGGCATACATCCCCTCCATCGGAGCAACGATCCAAGCGACACCCGGTGCCCCCCAGGGAGTGCCAGCTGGAGCCAATGTGATTAACTTGAGCCCTCCCGCGCAGCAGGACACTGTCACTGTGTGGATGGAAGGACGTGCCTTTCGATTCCCGCCAACAATGGTCAGGGGGATCAATTGAAAGTGGTAGATTTTTGCACTGCTTTTTGCGGCCCTGGCCTTTGGCCCCGCCCCTTGTAGCATATGTACTGCCTGATCACTGCACGCACCCCCTGAAACAGACTGCTTTGCCATTGTCAGGTGTGTGTGTGTGTCAGAACGTGAAAAACTCCATGCCCCGGCGCTGAGGATATCAGGGAACATGCTGCAGCTTTTTCCAGACTGAACCTTACATACCAGCATGTTTCTGTAGTATCACCCCCACTGTCTCTGCACTGCTTGCACTGCTTTTCGGGCCCTCCTTTCCTGCCCTTCTTCTCTTCTCTTTTTCTCCCCGCCGTGTATCTGCTGCCCCACACCTTGTCGTCTGTCTGTCGATGATTCACTTGATGGATGATGAAAATGACATCGGATGAGACACCGGACGACGACGACAGCAGAGGGTATATCCCCTCCAAGACTGCATCCTGGTGGGTGCGAGACCGCGAGGAGCCTGCTAGTTCTAGAACCCTAACCCCCCCCCGCCATGGCAAGCAGCGACAGCTACCTGAGTTTCTTCTAGCAACACTGCGGGAGATTATTCCCTCACTGTTTTGGATATTCGCTGGCCGCAAGCGTGCTGCCTCTGTATAGGCCCCGCAGGAAAACAGGAGGATGCCTGGCCTTGGAACAGGCCTCGCTGTTACGACAGCTCGAGTGGACTACGACAACCGGCCCTGGAGCAGGTTGTTTTTTACAGTTGCGTGGACGGAGACAACCAATATCTGGCCCGGAGCTGGCTTTGGGTTGACTGGTGTGCTGCCTCTGCATAGGCCCCGCCACTGCTCGTATCACTGGTGAGCCGCGTCTTGTTTTGGGCTTCGGGAGACCTGTGACGTGTGGGATGCGTACGGTTACATGGAGCCTTGCTACAGGATGCTACAGAAACACGGGCTGGTTTTGCGCAGAATACGGACATGCGCACCCCAGGCGCAGAAGACAGACCGCAGCAAAACCTGATTTTTTGGCCTGCTGATTTTTTGGCCTGCTCGGAACTGAGATGCATGGGAGTGCAATGGAGATCTGCTTGGTTGGGAGAATATGCCTGCCAGTTACGCGGACCGACCTCGTGTATGTCTGCATCCTGGAGCTCGTGTATACCACCCTGCAACATGGGGGGTGTCTACACTGGGCCCGCCTACACAGGACCCCTTGGTGCATTGAGGTGTACATTTGCTCTGTAATGAAGTCAGCTTGTGGCTTCCTTGATTTTTGGTTTGGAGCTGGAAGTTGATGACAGAGAGTATGTGCTCAGCTGTGCATTTAACTGCTACCTCGGCTGGCCCCTTGCTGGATATGGTTGCTGGCCGTATGCCACACCGACGACGGATTCGACGGGATTGAGTGGCTGGAAACAATGCCATCAGCGATTGAACTCTGTGGTTTGGATTGAGTGCAGGTTGCTTCCAGGCCCGACACCTGCAGCTAGATTCGTGAGCTGGTCCCGTGCATTTTGACTGCAGCATGGCCGGTGTGCCAGCTGCTTGCGGCTAGCACCAGACCTGGGATGGAGACTCAGGTAACGGAGAGTGGGGTTGTCTCGGAAAGTTGCTCGACAAAGAAGAAACAGTGTACTGAGTTTTGAGGGCCGGTGAAATCTACTGGCCGAGTTCCCGGGGATCGTGAAGATCCATGATGCTCCGTGCGTAGAGCGCTGAGCTATCTTTATTCGCCCTGTCTGCCTGGTACCTCGCCTGACTCGTCGAGTGCGAGTGCTAAAAAAATGTTTGTATGTATGTATGTATGTATGTGTGTATGTATGTATGTATGTATGCCCCTCTGTATGTACGTATGTGTGTATGTATGTATGTATGTATGTATGTATGTATTCATGTACATGCATGTATGCACGTATGTCTGTATGTCGTCACTGTATGTCTGCCTGTCTGTATGTATGTATGTCTGTATGTATGTATATATGTATGTATGTGTGTTTATGTGCGTATGTGTGTTCATGTGTTTATGTGTACGTACGTACGTACGTACGTACGTACGTACGTACGTATGTATGTATGTGTGAATGTATGTATGTATGTATGTATGTATGTATGTATGTACCTCGCCTGACGCGTCGAGTGCGAGTGCTAAAAATGTATGTATGTATGTATGTATGCATGGATGGATGGATGGATGGATGGATGCATGTATGGATGCATGGATGTACGTATGTATGGATGTATGCATGCATGTATGCATGTATGCAAGTATTCATGTATGCAAGTATGCATGTATGCATGTACGCATGTATGTATGTATGCATGCATGCATGCATGCATGTGTGTATGTGTGTACCCGGGGCGATGAAAGTCAGGATCTCAGTTGCCGGTGGATTATCGGAATCGAAAATGTTGTTGCAAATTCTAATCGGTCGTCATTGCAGAGTATACAGTGATCCACCTTCGGTTGGGAGCCTACTCGTACCATTAATTGGCAGTTCTTGCCGCCAGGAGCCGCATGAAGAGGGACCTCGAGCGTTGGTTGCAGATGGGGGGTGTTTCAATATCAGGGGTTCCTTTCTTTAGGGGTCTTTTCTATTGATTGAGGATCAAATCATATAGGGTCTGTGTTAGGGTCCTTGGATTTCTATCGCTCCCATATCCGCACTTCCGCATCTGCAAGTGCAAAGGCCATGCTGCGCCGTTTCGTGGAGGGCAAGCTACAGAGCTGGCGTCAGGCCGAGGCGCTTGGCGGGTTTAGGGTTACCAGAATAGGGCTTTGAACGCATGACAGCTACGCCGTGGCATGCTGTGGCTACTCGTTGCTTTTGCATGCTGTGTCGTGCTGTAGTAGATGTCCGGTGTTCGTTCTGCTGTTGGTTTCACTGTTGTTGCAGCCAGCAATTTCTATGTTGTCCTTGTTTGTGGGAGCTGTTCTGATTTTTTCATGTAGTGGTGTCCAAGAACCTTCAGCCCTAAACTGAAACTCGGGAGTAGGCTATAGCAACAAATATCCGGCCCTAAGCCCTGAACCCCTTCCTCCTACGCAGACTGTGCATATCCTGAGCACTCGGTTTCAAGGGTGATCTGGCTTTCGATGGTTGCAGGGATATGTCGTTCCCTGGCTACCTTCTAGTAAGCCTGTACCTAGGGAGTGTTGGGAGTGTTGCATCACCTCCAGCTATCACTGTCAAGGTACCTGTGTGACTTTGCGATGTGCGTGCCGACTTCAGGGTTCAGCACCCTAAACCCTAAGCCCCACGCCCCTTGGCCTTTCCTAGCTAGGTGGGAGGTCAAACAACCCTCGGCCCTCGACCCTACGCTGATGTCCTGAACCCTGGGTTCTGCCTTCCAGAAGCGCCCCTTTTGTCCTTTGTTGTTTGCTTCTTTTCGGAGGCCTCTGTGAAACATCGACTGGACATCCTGGGAGGAAAGCAAGAGGCACAGCCGGGAGCAGGATGCCCAGCGACTGAGGGACGTCACTTTGAGGCTTTTGCTCATCCATGTTTGAAGCACCTCAGTGCGATATCAGCAACTGTTGCAATAAAAACACCAGGAACAGCAGGTCAGTAAGCACAAAACCAACTCAGAGTTGGTTAGCATAGCATTCATAGCCTTCCCGTGCCCCGCCCCACCTCATCTATCCTGAGTTCTCAACGCCGACCCAGAAGCCTCGCCTAGCGCTCTCCGAATTCGAGAATCGAAGGGCCGTTAAGAAAGAAAGAAAACTAAGACCTGTTTAGATTAGAGACCGAGCCCTCGATCCGTGGCTTCGTTTCCAAGCTGAACGGGCCTCAACGTAGCCCTTGCCTGTCCCAACCCCTAGGGGCCGTTATCGCATCAGGCGAGCTTCAGCTGGCTCGAGGGTGGAGATGTGCAAGACATGGCTGCTGTGGTGCTCACAGAGGCCCCCTTTGAGCCGAGTGAGGCTCTTCTCAGCCCTTACTCGACCTTAGGCTTTGGGGATTCCTCCTGAACCCAGACCCTGCTGTAAAGCAGACGGCTTGAAGTTTGACCGGTTTGGGCTTGAGTATTTCTGTCTTGCAATATGGAAAGCAGATGATGCAACAAAAGGCTCCTACGCCCCGAGCACTTGTAAACACCCGAAGTCCTGAATCGCACGGAGGCCAAGCGTCTCGTCGGCTTCGCTGCGTCAGTGTTGGCGCAGGCGGCTGTGCTTGGTGCATCGCTCGAACACACCGAGGCGAAGTGGAATGACTCAAAATGACATAATTTGTTATGGAAGTGGATCGATGCTAGGGGGTCCGTAGTTTCGAAGATCCTTGTTTGGGGATCCTACTATCAGAGGATCCTCGTATTGAGGGTCCCTGGTTTGTTTTGGCGGGTAAGGGGATGGTTTTCATACTTTGAGATCCTTCTGGGGATCGTCCTTTACTGAGGGTAACCTTTCTTTGAAGGATCCTTTTGGGGGTGGTCTTTATCCATTCTTTATCCTAAGCAGTCAGCACATGGTCGATACTTTGTCGAGGTCCTGGTATTGAGGGTAGGGGGATCGTTTCCAAGGATTCTAGGGCTCAGGGTTTGGGTCTTTAGGGTTCGGAGCTTGGATCGAACATTTACCTGCAGCCTTTTGCCATCAATTGCTGCCGGTGGCTGCACAGCCAGGAGGAGTGTTCGCTCTTGTGAAACAGTTGTGCTGTGCTTGCAAAGCAGACTGCCCAGACCTGGTTGCAAAGCATTCTGAAGCCGTTGCACTGTGAAGCCACAGCTCTGCAAAACCCACTGCCTGGTGATTCGCTCGGGGCACGTTGCACGTGGAAGACCTTGTAACCACAGGAACGGGAATGACAAGCAGGAGCAGGATTGGAAAACACATGGTGACCGAAATCCAATTCCCAAGGTATTGACAAAGAAGCTAGTTCCCTGGCAGGCACAGCATGAAGGCACCTCTGCTGTCGTTGCGCTCTCTTTCGGCGATCTGGGTGACTGGGGCGGCGAGTCAGACGAAGGCTTCGAGCATCCTGGCTGCAAGGTTTCGACAATCTTCGGAAATGTCGCGGGCTGCCAGGTCTGCTGCAACCGTTAATATCACTACGACTGCCACTACGACGACTACTACTACCAATACTCCTCCTCTACTACTACTACTACTACGAC